CTGGAAGTATGTTTATGATACCATTATCCATTTGATAAAGGTAGAGTGAACATGCGGGGCTTATTGTAAGTAAAAGTGACCTCGGAGTGGTCGTGAATTACCAGGCATTCTGAAATGGGTCACTGGAGCTGCAATAGAGCTAACACCTTCTAACTCCCGGACTAAACCTGCTTTAATTTAAGGGTAATAAAAAGCAGTTTTCTTCCATAATAACACTGCCGGACAGTGGGGGTTAGATTGTACACACACACACACACACTACCAGAACAGTGTTCCTTTTTCCGCATACCGCAGCCACGGGGCCGGCTTTCACTCGCGGTACACAAAAGTTGTCATACTGGCACTCGCGGCACGGCTGAGAATCGATTTCCCAGCTGGAGTAGAACGATTTCGGCCTGAAACGGGGTAATTTGTCTCCGAATCCAAAACACACGTTCACTCCACCGTGACTCGGATACTTCTCCTCTGGTTCTTTCACAACGTCACAAAACAAAAACAAAACCGCCATCGCCCTCCTGCAACCGCGCTCGACTGTCATGCTGCTTATGTTTTTCGCCTTCTTTTGCACCGGGAGGAGAAACGGGACCTAATTTTATTCTAAACGCGAGACAATTTAAATCGATAATTTTTACACTAAATTCTAATCCTAAAAACAAATATATTTACAAATACAGCAGTGGTGAGTATGTTGTCGAGCGTGTGACCAAAACAAAAACAAATCATAACAGACAAGGCACACGCTCATGGCAAACACGTTAAAGGGTGGGTTATTAATTGTTACCCTAGACGAGGGTTACAATAGTTGCTCAAGCATTGTGATGATAGTTATCAATCGGTGCATCCCTCAACCAATTTTCAGCTTGTGAGCTCAGCTCAACTAACGAAAGCCTTTCACTAATAGCGAATTCGGTTATTATTCAGTTCCAACCTGGATCGGGTATCAAGATTGGGTCTGCTTGTTTTCTGACAAACGTCAGTTTGTTCTTTTGTTTTTAAAACCTAGCTCAGGTTGAGGTTCACACTGACAAAAAGTTCAGTTTCGCACTGGGTTGGAACTGGTGTTAACCCCGATAATAAACGAATTCGCTATAAGTGGGCTATGGGTTTGGGCCAACGAGCGACGGTTGACTGTATGTGAAAAATTTATTAGACAAGATTATCCGTACCTTAGTTTTAAATACGGGAAACTGAATTGTGTATACATTCCGAAATTACACCTCCTTATAGCGGGGCGCACATATAAAAAGTTGGAAGGGTTGTATACTAGATACGACCACAGGGTTGGCGTTGGATAACGTCTGCTATGTGTTGTACTTAATTGTGTATATTATATTTTAGGAATATTCCTTAATAACTCTTTTGCGAAAGTTTGGTGGCCCTGAAAAGGGCCGTTTCGTTGGGCTGATGTTGTTGACAATGATGAAACGGGCGACCTTGTTGGACGCTTATATAGTAAAACAGAAAATATCAGAGGTGTCAGATACTCGCATACGTACGTTAAACTCTTTCTTGATAATGTTGTGGGCCTGAAAAGGGCCATTTTTCCAACGCGCTCGGCGTAGTTGCCCTTGCGGAGCAGACGGTGAATACGACCGACTGAGAACTGCAGCAGCTGGGCATTCCATGACGGCGGCCCAGTATACCGGAGCACTGGCACCAACGCACTCGGCGTAGTTGCCCTTTCGCCCCCAGGCTCTGCTGCCGCTGCTCTGCTTCCGCTGCTCTGGTACTGCTGCTCTGCTGCTATGCTGCTGGGTCGACGTTCGGATAGACAATGATGGAACGGGCGACCTTGTTGGACGCTTATATAGTAGAACAGAAAATATCAGAGGTGTCAGATACTCGCATCTGATGTCTTGGTTGGAGAAAGTATAAGAATATAAAAAAAATCAATCGATTTTCACCATCTTTAGACAATGGTTTACTTTTAACCATTTTTCAATAGTTTACAGAATGAAATCAATAGTTTTGAAACATTCAGCAAATTGCTAGAAATATTTCCAATCGATTGATGCCATTATCTCGTAAATCTATCGAGAGACGGTTGAGTTATTATCGTTCAAAATCTTTTAATTTTTCGTAACGCATCCAAAATGACTGTTTTCAATTTTGTACCCCCGTATGTTGCCGAAAGACGTTATCCAACGTCAAAAATCAGTGAGTTACCAGCTCTTAATTTACCATGACAGATCTGTCATCCCGATATTCTATCTATAGGTGAATGAACACGGTGACAAAGCACTGGATGTGTGTTCGCTTGCTGTATACATACACGGGTACTGGATGATAAACGGAGCTGGAGGTACTCGTTCGTTTGGTAAGTCTGCCGTGAGTTGCTCGTGAAGCTTCGGCTGGGCACGGAAGCACTTCTCGCAACGATCAATGACCATGCGTGTCTGTGATGCGTGCCAGGTTCGCGAGACAACCTCCCAATAAGATTAATTCGTTCACCTACTATTTGGTATGAGAGCTTGAGCTTGAGCTTGAGCTTGATTGACCGCCCACGGTTGCTACTCTGTTACTGCCAGATCAGCTGTAATTACACAGAGAACCAATAGACGATGCTTGGAACTAGCAATCATCCTCAATGTGTAAAAACTGGTGATCTTAAATTAGGCAATACCAGCGCCGGCCGCGCCCGAACACAGGTCAAGAAAGGAATGGGAAGGATTGTGTTGACATGACACTCGCTTTGATGGAAGCCGAGAACACCTCTGCACTTCCACGAGGAATCACTGGGATGTTGGATAAGAGGGTTGGGTTTGCAGCAGGGTTCGTTTTGGTAAACGATAAGCTGAATTAATGTCCTAACGATCATATAACGCGAAGGAGCTTGGGACTAAACCCACGGTCTTCTGCTCAGTAAGCAAAAACGTTTGCCACTAGGCAGACGAGTACCTTTTTAATCACCGAGTTGCTGTTATTACCATGTAGTCATATTAACAAATTAAACGATTGACGAATCTTGAATGTGGATGGGCCTGAGATTAGACTCATGATGTTCTGCTCAGTAAGCAAAAACGGTTGCTCTAAGGCCACCGAGGCCCTCATATCACATAATACCGTTGCTCAAATTTGCGTTTTCAAACCCGGAACCAACGACAACAACGAGTTTCGCAAAATACACGATACACAAGCGATTTTACCATAAATCTCTTTGATATGTAAGGACCTGGGATAGCGTTTTTCTGCTCAGTAAGCAGGCCACTGTAACCGACGATCTTTCAAATCCGAAAACTAAAAACTATGAAAAAGTACTTAGGCCTTCATTAAGTTCCACTTTCACGCGACGTTCAATGACAGGGTCCTATCCAGGATTACATCTGAAAAATCCAAATCTGGCCAACGCCCACCTAAACCTGTTCTAATCCACCTGAAATGACTAACGAATGGAAGACTTTGACTACCCAGCCATGCAATAGTCTCATTCCGTGCCTTATGGCAACTTGATGATTCTATTGCCCTCATCTTTTGGCACCACCCAGGGGAGACTTGGTTCTGTACCCAATGCTTAACTTATCTCCATTCAACTACCCTGGTTATCGCCTGGTACCTTATAGCACGATGCTAGGAGGCGAACCGGAAATTCTTCCGATGAGCTACCTCTCCCCCTTCACCTACTATTTGGTATGAGAGAGACAAAAGTACTTGCTGTCTTTCTCATAGCAGTGCGGCTTCTTTCTCCTTCTATGGATGCTCATGGGGGCTGCAGCTCGCTGCTTGCAGGCAGCCTTTTGTTGTGTACTGGAGAACACCACGCAGTGATTGAATAAACACCGTTTGGTGAGACTGGATGGAATTCAACTTTGAAATCTGTGTTAGGGAAATCGCTTTTCGCAGCAACAGTTGCGCAATTGTCATAGCAACAGATGCACATTCGTGCAATTTCCCATAGTGACATTTTGAAAAATGATAAAGTCTTAAGTTTAACAGATGCGTAAAAATATTTCTGATCGACTGGTGATAAAATTATTGAAATTGGTCCTGGGGCAGCTGAGTTATTAAAGTTCAAAATCTTTCATAATTTTGTTACATGTTCCATTTTTGGTTTTCACAAAGTGTACCCCCATATAGAAATCACAGACGTAGTCCTACGTCAAAAAATGAGAACAGCAGCACGAGGAGAGAGATTGTTGTGATGCACCACTGCAGAATCCGTCTCTTTGGGTAGATCGACTCGTCATCTGACAGTAACTGCTCATAGCTGAAGGTGGCTGAAGTATACCGAACGTCTTGCGTATTAGAGCATCTCCACCATTGCAATTATTTGTGATCATTGGATCATTGTGCGAAACGAGTATAAGAGCTTCTTGCATGATAATTGCCACCTGGAAATGTTTTCAACAATTGCACGTTTGTTGTTTAGCTACTATTCGGATCAGATCATTCCAAGAAGATCACATATCGATGATTGGACTGGGCTCGATCACTTGATTTTTCCTCGAGAAGAGAGGGATGCACAAGCCATCAGTGTTGATTGTAGCGGTTCGCGGTCAGGAAGTCTTACCGATCTCGTAGTCTTTCAGCAGATTACGTGTCATTCCCCTTGATAGGACGTCAACACTCAGTGGGATACTTCGATGTTTATTCCACGAGATTCTCACCATATAGAGGAAATGGATGTAATGTCAACCCAAGTGTCCCTAATTTGGGCCCATACATAAATTCAGCAATCGACTATATTTTCAATAGCGACCAAAAATAACCTTTAGTCCCGTCCCAATGACGCGCTCATCTAGATAAAATTGATAAATATGTAGCAGATTTTAGCGATTGGCCCAATCTTAGATCCATAGGCCAACATTAGAGCCTGTTACTTCCTTTAGCAACCAAGTTTATTATTTTCGGCAGAACCTATTGATCAAATGATCGAGATTTATTTGAATCAGTAATATATTCGAGTTATTTCCCTAATCCCTCTTAACTATCAATTCCGAGAACAGAAATTAAAATCTCGACCCGCATTGACATTCTCCCCCCTATTCTACTTCCGCTTTCAGGACCAAACCGTCTCGTCGTACGTGCATCCGATTCAGTGACGACGCACCCCGTCGTCGTGCCCTCGGTCGTGCCGTAACCTTCGTCGTATCCATTTAGTAGCAAACCGTGCACAGCTGCAGCTTCCAGACCTATCACAACGTATGCATTCACCGCACGAAATTGACTACGACGACGACGACGACGACAACGGCTATTACTTCTACGCCAACGGCCGCGACCGCATTCGCATTTGCTGCCGGTGCACTCGTCGAGGAGAAATTGCTAAAATAAGGCCATCAACGTCCAGTCCCATCGTCGTTGTGACAAACGGCCTCATCGATAGCAACAACAACAACAACAACAACAACAGCAGTGATCACAGACGGCGGCGGCGTCGCCGACGACGACGGCGGTCGTTCACGTTCAACGTAACCTAGAAAAGTTACACACACTCAGTGCACTTCTGCAACAAAATTTCCATTTTAGCACGTCGCGGTGATCGCGCGATCGCGTTTTTCTGTTGTTGTCGCGCGATGATTGTTGATGAGCGTCAAGATTTATTTGTCATTTGCCAGTGATAGAGAGGGACGGGAGGACAAACAGACGAATGGTCGGAAATCGGTGTGAATAATTAATGATTTATGGTTCAAACAAACCGTCATCAGGAGCATTACCATCATCATCATCATCAGCAGCATCATCGTCGTCGTCGACAGTGTCGGAGAGTTCGATGAAGTGTAAGTTGTATTTATGATTATTGCTAATTTATTTTGTTTTGCTTACCGCTGCAATGGGTGGGAAATTTTGATTTTCCGGCGAAGCAGCGCAACGTGCGACTGGTTAGCGAGGCGAGGTAGAATAGATCGTGCGGGTAGGATAAATTTATGCTGACCTTAGCAAAAATCTAATATACAAGCTATTTCTCGCGTAACATTTGAAAAGGGCCTATCCTCGTTGATCGATTCTCTTCATCGACTTTCTCTTTGGTTTACCACGGCAACATAAACGAGTTTCTCGCTAATCTCGCAGCATAGTTCGACAGAAGATGATGTTAGCTTGCGCCTGAAACAATACACTCAATGGGAAATTCATTTGCAGTCGGGTTATTCGCGAAAGAGAAAGTCGATGAAGAGAATCGATCAACAATGATAGGCCCTTTTCTCGTGTTGCGCGAGATTTCAAAACTTCCCAAATTAGGGTAGAATCCCCTCAGATTGGTCAAAACTGAACCTTCCCAAAAATGGATAAACTAGAGTCGGTGTATAATGAGTCACGCCAAGAGAAAAACAGTTGAACTCGCATCACAGTTTTCGGAAGATTTCCATTCTTTTCACTTGGCAACAGAGGACTTCTACAACAACTTCAAATGACTTCTAGCGAGAGAAAAAATATTGCGGCTGTAGTAAATCATTATATCAGTGATTTTGTCAAATTATCTTAACAAAAAATAGTAGAAATTCTTATTACTAATCATTACCGAGCGTATCCCATGACAATTTAACGCTCATTGCGTGTTAATGCTCATTTCTTCGATTATATTTTATATTTTATTGCAATACCTTTCGTGGACCTTTCATAGCATCGTAATGTTTATTTATTTTGCACGATAGGTAGCCGGTTTGACAGTTCAATAGGTAGACTTGGCTTCACTCTTGGCGTGACTCATTATACACCGACTCTAGGATAAACTATGTTGGGAGTGACAAGTTGACAAATGAACGGCATCGACATGAGTCCGATCGACTTTGGGTGGATTCTACCCAAATTTTTGTGGTTTTAAAATAGCGTGTACAATTTACTGCCCAAAAGAGGTAACCACACTGGAAAAAACGTTGTTGAATATTACATCCATGCTGCACAGAGGTCATTGCGCTGGTTGTGTAATATTACGTTTGTACGATAAATACCGATTCTGCGAACAAAATTACATCCATTGATGTAATATTGTATCTTCTTTTTGCAATCACTTCAATATTTGATACATAAGCCTGAATTACGTTGATCGATATTAATTGTGCGTGGTCGTTTGTTTTTTGGTCAAACATCATTAGAAATTGTATCATGGACCATAACAATGGTTTTTCCTGATTTTCCTCCACCGTGAAACTGTTCGCCAATTTTTTTTTAAACCTCCTCCGCAGAAATCCACTGGAACTTCGCTAATTTCGTATCACTGATAACAGTCCCATGTGGATTTTTGTCAGAAATGAGCTACCCATTACAATCGATTGAGAGCATCCATTGAAGCGAACTGAAGCAAAGCTTCACGTAATCGTCGTTGGTGAAATCCAAGGGGTAAGACAGCTCCTAATCATTAGTAATTTTAGAGTTGCTTTTGAGGCACCTCGAGTAACTCACATTGCTCAGTGAGCAATCAATCACTGTCATTTGCATTCTCACTTTTCACATCACTCACAGCAACATATGAAGATGCGAAGCCGAAAAGCTGCTGTCAAGCAAAATAACAACAAAAAACCGGCTTGATGTGGTAGAAGAACTCGATTCGCCTGCCCAAATACTCCAGATCCGGCAAATTATACGTACCCCGCCATCCTCCGATACTCGTCGAAGTGATCCCGTTCCCATCGCTCAACAACCTGCCGTTTTCTGCGATACACCACCGAGATTCTGCTGCGGCCGTCGAAGGAAGCCTCCGTTGAAGTTGAACATAACTTCTTTAAAGAAAATATTTCATCCATTATCTATTATTCATTATATTCGGAGCATGTTTCGTTGTTCGGTTGCTCGTCAGTAAAGTCTATAGCGATGATCCTGTACTTGGTTGGATCGGATTTACTCTTGAGAATCTTTAGATCGCCAAGAACCCTTTTCTTCCACTCTTTACACCATCCGCAGTAGCTTGGAGCGAACGCAGAACATTTGTTCTTCGTCTTCCTCACCGGTTTTCACTTCGATTTCGTCGGGTAGATCGATGATGGGTTTGAAGTCCGGATGAGGATCGTACTCACCGGAAATATTGGGAGCTGTGTCTTTAACGTCCTCCTCCTCTTCGACTTCAGCAGTGTCGACTGTGTTGATGCTCTGGCTGAACATTCTGGGGTAGTGGTTGGCAGCGTTTCCTTCGGAGCTGCAATTGGGAATCGGATGTTATTCGATCTTCATCCAACAGGGAGATATTTCCTATGTATGCTAGTGATTTTCCACAACGATTTCACTCGGTGGACATCTGAAAACGATTCCTGTGATTATTTTACGAGAACAAATCGCACATTGAAACGGAGGAATACGAACAAAAAGCACTTCCAAAACAATAACAGCAAGAACAGCAGCCAATCGGCACAGAGAAGCAGATGAAAATCCACGCCAATGCACCCCCTTTAGACACTTTTCCAGCATCGTTCAAGCCATTTTCTGAACAAAATCTGAAATTCACATCGTTTCAATAGCCGAACAATTCTATTTTGTTTACAAACAAGACTTACGTCTAATATGTGAAAGGGATAAACGGAGTAAGCCAAGGCGTAGCCAGACAAAAACATCGATGAACGTCGACTAAATTTTGAGGTTACTCGCTGCAAAAAAGCAACTCAGAGTAAAACTGTCTCACCCTCTGGTTTCAAAGCAACAGAATTACAATCCCCAAAAGTAGCCATGGACATTGAAAGCCGAAACATTGCCGCGCCGGGATATCCGGAAACGAGATGGCACATCAATTAGCACGAGCTGGCTTGGATCAGTGTTAGATCACAACCTGTTCCTCAAGGAAGTTTTCGAACTTTTGAATTTACAAATGATAGAAAACTCAACCAGGTGGTACAAACAGTACTCAAAAGAGAAAGGGAGAAACTTCTTTGAAATACAACCATAGATCTGACAGAAGCCATGGTATCACGGGATCGACATATGTGGCAGCGTTGCCAAATATACAGATTTATCGGTATTTATACCGATTTCCGAACTAGATACCGATATACAGATAAAGTTCCTCAGAATACCGATTTTTGAGGTTTTATCCCGATTTATACCGATTTTTTTAAATAATCAAAATGATTATTGCCTGCCCGCGCTCGAATTTGGAGAAAATTATTATGAAAGAATTATATCTTTTTGAATAACTAAAAAGTTTTAGGCCTTTAAAATTCTAAAACAAAAAAATCATCTTCAAAAATGTCTTATGGATACTCTTTCGATTAATGTTTCTATGGCTCTTCCGATTACACTCTCGGAAACTTATCCCATGGAAGCTTCTTCAGCCATCGCTCGAATGATTCTTCCATCTTCTCCCGCCAGTTTTTTCAACTTTCCCGGAACTTCAGGGATGCTTCCAGATTTTAATTGCAGATCCAAACAAGCTACAGGAACTTCTAAGAATTTCTGAATCTTCGGAAAAGTTCAGATTTTTGAGTAAGTTTCGGTCAAGCGAACTCCAGTGAACTTAAGGATACATAATAAATATTATGGATACTTTACAAGTCCAAAGAACTTCTGGAAAATTTAAGGTTTTCAGAACAGTTCCATTAGTTTCAGGAGAATTGAGAGAACTTTAGGAAGCTCCGAGAACGTCAGGACAGATCAATAAATGTCAAGGAAATCGCTGAAATTTTAAAGGAGTTCCGAGAAACTCAGGCAATTTCCGAAAACTTCAGCAATGATCCGAGGGATAAATGCAGATTTAAGAAACGTAAGGGAAGTTACATGAACATAAGCACATTGTGAGACTGAGAACATTTTATTGGAAGTTCCGTTCTTATTAATGGCAGTGTCGATAACTTTTAAAAATTAGAAAAATCTGGAAGATCAGAGAACTTCAATGCTGATGTTGCAATAAATTTAAGAAAATTTTGCGCTTAAGAAATTTCGTAATCTTCAAGAAAGTCTAGAGACCTTCAAAATTGATTAGAGATATTCCGGTAGTCTCATTATAATTAGGGAATTTCCAAGTATTTCAAAAATGATCAGAGTACTCCAACACAGCATAAAATCCCTAAGTACATTTCAGGAATGTCCTAAAAACTTCAGGGGCATTGCGGGGTCTTCAGGGATGTTTATGACCATTTGGAAATTTCTGGATTAGAACATCCTCTTTCTTCCGGAATTATCTCCTTGTTTCTTTTGACTGTTCCGTAAGCGCTATAGCTTCCGACTTTCTCCAGAATTTTTTTTCCAATCTACCTTAGGAATTTTCTGCCTGCGTCTCCAGGAAGTTTCTTCCGTCTTCTCCTGGAAGTTCAATTAAACTGTTCCCAGAAATTTCTTTCGCCTAGTTCTGGAATTTTGTCCAGTTGGTTTTTTTTTACTTCTATTGGAAGGTTTTTCCGAGCTTCTTCTGGCTTCCCCTGGAAATAGCAACTTTTGGAATTTACTTCAAATTTTCGAAACATTTCTGCCTTCCTTTGAATGGGAAATCCGATTTTTTTTTGAAAGTGTCTTAAAATTTTCGCCAGAAGTTTCTCAATTTATGTCTCAGAAGTTCCGCGGATGTTTTTCCGACTTCTCTCAGAGCTCTACTCAAATTTCCTCCAGGAAAACTTCTTTCTTCTTTCTCTGGCTTTTTTCAGCTTCCTCCAGAAGCTAATTCAAACATTACCCGGAGTTTTCTTCCGGAATTTTCCGATCATAGTCCAAAAGTTAAAATTTTCGCTTTCAAAAACTTTCAAATTAAAATAGCAAATACCGACAACTACCGATTTTTTAAAACCTTTGATACCGATAAGCTTTAAAACATTCTGGCAACGCTGATATGTGGACAAGACATCAGGCTGCTGAACCGTTTGAT